GCTTGTCCCCTGGACTTGCCATTGCTAATATCCTGGACCAGAAATTCAGTCTCTCCTGGAGGTGAGGCTTGGGAAGGTGTAAAGAGGTGCTTCTGCCCTGCAGTTCTTAACCCTTTATGTGGCATCCTGGGGGGCAGAAAGAGCGTGGGGGCTCCACCTGCCAGACCCGAGGGCAGGCCTTGCTCAGGCTCCCTTGATTCTGCTCTGCTTCTGGAAAAAAAAAAAAAAAAAGGGAATTGAGGTTCCAAGTTGTGGATCCAAGCAAAAGAAGGAACCCCACCCCCAGGGTAAAAGTCTCACCTACCTTACCCAACCCTCACAGTGACCGCTGCTGGCTAGCAACCTTGACCTGCGGGTGCCCTACAGGCTTTCCAGGGTCAGGGCTCAGAAATGCAGCCGTAAAGACCCCTGCACCCAAACCTTTGGCTCTGGGGGGGTCCTGAGCACCATGCATGTTTACTTTGGCACCCCCTTATCTTATATGTAATAGCAATATATATGTTAATTGAAAACTTCTGAATTTAAAAAGGTTGTGACAAGTTATAATTTGTCCTGTCAATGCCTGGAATCCTTATTTATCTCTTTAGCTTGCCTCCTGCTCGCGCCTGTCAGCTAACAGCTTGCCTAACTCGTTGACTTCCTCACTCATGGCACGGAAATGACAAATGTGCTGTTTTATCCGTACAATTTATTTCATTATTGTTGCCAGCACGAAACATCACAATCAATCATAAGGAAGTCCAGTTGGCAGGTGTCAATCTTGATGTGTTTTGGTACGTCTCAGTCTATATTTAATCCAATTATAAGGGTCACAGAATAAGTGCCAATCCTCTTGTTACAACTCACATCTTATTTAAGATTTAAAGTAAAAAAGTCAACTCGATCACATGGGCCTTTTGGGAAAGGGAGGGGACGCCTTTCAAACCCCCATCTCCTTTCCTCTACTACTACTCACCTCCAATTTGAAGGATGAAGCCATCCTTTTTTATTAAACAGTTACAGGGAATCTGAGTTTTATGAGCATTTGTGTGCAAATGAAGGCTCTTGTTATTTTGCTAAAGTAGAAGAAGGCTTAATGATGAGAGATCTTTCCGCTCATTGCCCATTCAAATACAATTGTAGATCGAAGCCGGCCTTGTCACGTTGAGAAAAAGTGAATTTCTAACATCCAGGACGTGCCTGTCTACTTTCAGCGAATTGCATCCAATCACCCCCAGGGAATTCAGCTAATGTCTCAGTCTCCTCCCCAACAAGGGATAGAAAGAAATCAAACATGGTGCCATAGACTGACTGACTTGATCTGAAAATGTTTAGAAGGAAAGGAAAAGCAGAGTCTTCTGGAATGAATTCTAATAGTCTGTTGGAAAAGCAAACTGCAGGATTTGGAGATTTTTCTAAGTGTTCAAGAAAACTCTTCATGGTGAGGTAGAACAAACAGAAGAGAGAAGAAACTAAATATTTCTTTGAATGAACAGAAAAATAATTGAATAGCAGAGAAAGCAAAGAATTGCATATAATTGTGCCATTGTACAGCCCTCTAGACCGGGGTAAAGAGATGGCAAATATTATCTTTGCTAAATATTTCCCTTTTTGACGCTCGAATTCACAAACCGTTCCTTCAGTTTTGATTTAAAATAAAAATCTTGTTAAAACAAGTTTACCATTTAAAGAGGAAGTGAAAGTGAGGGAAGGAAGAGCAAGAGCCCCATGCACCATCCAGTAAATTAGATTCCTTAGATGATAAATGGATTTCTGGCTGGTACAGCTATGTGAAATGACACCCAAATATACACAGTATTTTTCGCAATAAGCTGGAAAATTTTCCTCTCCTCCTATTAATTTTTATATGGAAAAGTTTTATTAAACCACTTTAAATTAGTGCCTACCCACGAATAATATATGTAAAGCAAAAGTTAATACGATGCACAATCATCTAGACTTAATAAAATAAAATTGAAATATTGAAGTGAAAAATCCACTTCTTTTCAATTGTTGGCCAACTAATGCTCAGTGAAAAGACAAATAATCAATTTCCAATCTGGAGATTCCAAGGGAGGGACCGGCCAACCGGGAAGGCCCTTTATTTGCATAAAGTAGTTAAGGGAAGATAGAGAGAGAAAGAAAAAACATACCTTGGACAAGAACACATCTCAGCTACATTTCAAATCAAGGATCATCTCTCTGCCTTCCCCTCTCCCTCCTTCCTTCCAACCAAGCCATGCTCTCTAATCTTTACTCTCGCCCTCTGGCTTCACGTTCTCTACCCTCTACCTCAAAGCCTTTCACCTCTACCTCAAAGCCTTTCACCCCAACCTCCACTTTGCTTCCGCCGGCTGGAGGGGAGCCATGGTCCGGTGATGGCCCAGGAGTCCCCGCGGCCCAGGTGACGGCCGAAGTGGTTCACTGCTCCCTTAGTGGAGAGCCAGAGCTCAGGGCTGCCCTGCTTGTCCGAGAATTGCACTCTGAGCTAATCCAAGCTGGGAGGAAGCCTGGAAGAAACCAGGTTTCCTTTCTGTTTCTGGCCCTTTGCACTCGACCTACAGCCCGCGTCAGGTCACAGTCCGCGTGCGTCGGGGGCGTTGGGCTTGTCCGCGATGCCCCCGGGCCACCCGCGGTGCCCTCCTGTTCGCGTTGCAGACTGGTGCGGCCTAGATAGGCTGCTTCTGTCAAAGTGGGCCCAGGCTGAGCGTCGCAGGCTGGGCAACACGCGGGGCCTGTCCGGCCGCCCCTAAGGCTCGTGGCAGGCGTGGAGAGCAGCCCCCGCGGCCGCAGATTACGGGGGTGTCTCCAGAGTGCTCCGAGGTCAAGGACTACTCGGCTGCAAGTAAATCTGAGCTTTCCCTGGGGGCGACCCTGGAGCGGGCGCCCACCTGCCTGCCTTCTGTGCCCGGGGCAAATGGAGAGAGACTCCTGGGTTGGCCTGGAGCTCCGAGGGCCCAGGTCTGGCCTCGTCGCCACCGCCGAGCGCGCCCTTTATTGACAGGCAGATAAGCAGGCGGGGTCCGCGGCGTTTCCAGCGCTGCTCTTGAGCACCCTGCTGGGTTGCAGGGATCCGCGCACACTTAATGGCCTGGACGCCAAACAAACCCGGAGCAGTCCTCCTGGCGGCCTCCGGCCGGGACGGAAGGGACGGGTGGGACACACTGGGGTGCTGGGAGGCCTACTTAGGCCCGGAGACTACCCGCAGCCCAAACTGCCAGGCGGAGTGGGGGGGCTCAGGACCTCCGGAGGGCTGGGGGTCGGCGGCTAGGGGCTTACCGAGAAAATAGGCCACGGGAGATAGTAGGGGGCGGCGGAGGGCGGGAGCAAAAGTCTCTGGAGCTCCTCTCCCCTGCCGAACCGAGCTTGGGGCGGCAGGACCAGGCACTTTCCAGGCCTCACTAGAGTGGCCGGTGGGGGATGGATGCCCCATGCCCTGGACATAGGACGACTAGGGGAGGAGGGTGTGTAGAAAGAAAGAGGGTTGGAAATGTCTGTAATTAACACCTCGCCAAAACCTGTCCGCCAACCAGCTCCCTTTCTCCTCCCCACCCCCACCCTGCCCTCAGGGCCTCGACCCTCTAAGCTAGAAGAATCAAGTCCTGCCGGGGGCTGCCTGGGCCTAGAAGAGCCGGCAGGCGGGCTGCCAGGAGCCGCGTCTCGACCGGTTGCGAAGTCCTGCACCTGTCCAGGTGTGCCGGAGGTGGGAGCAGGAGCCGCTCAGCCTCTTGCGCCTCGGCGCCATCTGTGCTCAACTACCCCCTAACCGCCCCCTCCCGAGCAAGGTGCGCAGGTACTGGCCCCAGGGGCCCTCCCTCCCCTGACACAGATCCTGATCCACCTGGACTGGGTCTCCCACGAGCTGCCGAGAGACCATTCACGCCCCACCCATTTTCTCCCGCCCCGTCCTGAAGCGCCCCCTGCCCTTCTGGACCACAGCTTTGTCACTTTCAAGTTTGAGCCCTGGACAGAGGCCGAGAAGGAGGGGACTGGAAGCTGGGAAGCCCGTCTCCTGTTAGGGAGGACACTGAGAATGATAACGCTCTCAACCTCCTCCCTACAGGATAGTCCTGCCCAGCTAAGCTAAGCGGCCTCTCCGTCAACGGTGGTTGTGAGGATAAAACAGAAAAGAGGCACAGACCACCAGGTCACTGTCCTGCCGACCCCTCCCCAATTTCTGTTGTTTCTGCAGTCCAGGAGAGGAATCGTGACTAAACAATCTGGGATTTGCCTATTTTCACCCTCTAGGCCACAAAATCAGCAGTTAAGCCCCAAGTCACAGATAATAAAATCACCTGCATTTCCTACGTGCTTGGAGCCTTGCAGCCCAGGAGGTGAGGGAAGCCCGGTTGGGGCTCCTCTCTTGAGAACCCAGCAGAGCTGGCGAGGATTTTAGCCTGGCCCAGGGAAAAGGACCACTCGCCCTCTCCTCTGGGCTCCACGTCTGTGCCCAGCCTGTGAGTTGGAGGCACAAGGGCCAGGTTGAGGCACCCATCGTGCCTAGAGCTCTTTCAAAATGATTCCTGCCAGCAGCCCCTCACAACCCTGGCGCGGCCTCCAGGTCCCTCTGATGAAGCGAATTCCCTGGGGATAGGAAGGGACCGGGTGGACAGCTGGAGAAGTGGCTGGTCGTCTAGGACCAGGGACCCTGCGACCCGCGTGCCCGGTGGGGTGGCGGTAGCGCGCTCAGCAGGACTAGTTTCCTTGGGGGTCTATCAACACCCTAAAGCAGGGCGGGGCAGGCCTGGCCCGGGTGAGTCCGGCAGCCCTGGGCTTGGCCTAGGAGGGCCGGGTGGAGACCCAGCAGCCCGACTGACGTGGGAGGGAGAGGCCAGGCCGGGTGGAACGCTCGCCAGCTCCGAGCTGAGCCCAACTCTGGCCTCCGTGACGTCACGTGGGCTGGGCAGCCAATGAGGGCGGCGCTGGCTTGGATATTAAGGAAAGTTAGCGCCTGCCGGAGCACCCTCTTTTCTTATCATTGACATTTAAACTCTGGGCAGGTCCTCGTGTACAACGCGGCTGTCAGATCTGCCACTTCCCCTGCCGAACGGCGGTGAGAAGTGTGGGAACCCGCGCCGCCAGGCTCACCTGCCTCCCCGCCCTCCGCTCCCAGGTAACCGCCCAACCTCCGGGCCCGGCCCGGCTCCCGGCCAGCGAGGCTACTCGACTGTCCGCAACCGGCGCCCCCCCAAATCGGAGACCGCCCCAAGTGGTCCAGGGCCTTGGTTTTTGTGTTTTTAAAGGAGGCATGCAAAGATTGAGGGGAGTTACTGAGGAGGGCTGGACTGAGGGGGGCTGTCTTGTCTTTGCAGAGCGTGCTTTTTCTGCAACGGTGGCAAAATTTTCCTGTCCCCAGAGTAGATTTCCATTAAGAACCTGAGATGGGGGTGGGACGGGGGGGGTGGGGTTCTGCAGCTGCATTCTGCAGCAGCCGCTCGAGAACCTGAGAAATGTAGGAGATGGCCGCAGTTTGTACCCAGCTTTCCTCTGCATGGCCGTTCACGACCAGCACGCGTGGAGAGGTCCCCATGGCCTCTGGCGCCTGTGGAAACGCACCACCGAAGGTCGAAAAAGGTGCGACAGAAGTTTCCCGTGGTTGCAAAGTGTAGATGGTTGGATCGCAACAAAGTCGTAGTAGCGATGGGGTTGGTTTCTCAGAAAGGCGCAGAGGACGAAAGAATGCGGCCAGCAGAGCTGGGGAGCGCGCAAAGCCCCCAGCGTGTGATTTGAGCCTCACTTCGGAAGACCTAATAATTAGCGATTCTCACTGAGCTAGAACGCGGCATCGGGTTACAGCGGGCGGTGCGCTCGCTGCCTCGGCGGGAAGTTCGTGGGTGCCGGGGTTGCCGGGCTGCTGAGCGCCGATGAAGGCAGTGCCGGGCCACCCTCCCGCCCCGGGATGGGATGGCCAGAACCGGGTGCAGGAAGTTTCCCCGAAAGTAGGTCGCGGAAGTTACAACCTCAAACTTAGACTAACTCATGGGCCGCAGGGCGAAAGTCTCGGGTGTCTAGCTGCAAGTGGCGGACACGGCTAGGCGGGCTTAGGCGGCCAGGAGACACCCCCGCCGGGGACGTTGGGGCAGCCTGTAGGCCAGGTACGCACCCCCCCCCCCAACAGCGCTCCAGACGCCGCCTCTCCAGACTTTCTGGGGGCACCTCCAAGGGACGTTTGGATCTCAGGCACCTATGACAGGTGCTTGGGACCCCTGCCCGGCTCCGCGCCGCTGGCCGCCCCCTGCCCACCTCGCCCGGGAAAAGGGGAACCAGCAAACTGACCGCCCCGCCGGGCGCCTTACCTGGGCCCGGTCTTCTGCTCTGCAGGCTCCCTCCCCGGAGCTGGGCGCCAAGCAGGTTGCCTGCTTCGCAGTGGGAGGTGGACGTTCTCCTCCAGTAATAAATCAAACCCATCCATCCCCAGGCCTCCTCCCTCATTAGAGATGTTTATTGGAGATTGTGTTTATTCGGCTGTCATGGCAAGAAAACGCAGTAAGATAACTACCTCTGACCAGAGTCCTCGCCTGGAGCCCAGGGCGAGCCGGGGACTTCCTCTGTAGCCTTGTCACTCCCGTACCCTCCTTCATCGGAGGGTGGATGTGGTTGACTTTTTTTTTTTTTTCTATTTTTTTCTCAGACCCTCTCCCATAATCTGTAGTATGGAATGAGTAACTAACTATTCAGATTTCCCCAGGGCCTGGGCGTTTATTTATTTATTTACTTTAGAATTCGAAAGGAAAGCCGAAGGGAACCCAAAGCCCCTCTGGGGCAGAAGGGAGCAAGATGAGAAACAGCGAAGGAGAGTCCTTCTCGCTACGTAAACTTTCCCGCGGGCCTGGCGGCGGCGAGCGGACACCCCAATTCCTCCCTGTGCGCGGCCCTGGCCTGGGGAGTGGGGGCTGCCCGGGAGAGGTGAATGTTGATATTGGTGGCATTATTTGTTGCTTTATTTTTCCTTTTCTGTCCTCTCGAGAGAAACCCGAGTCTTCAGAGCCCCAGGCTGAGGATTCTTGAACTCTCTCCGGCCACACTCGGGGGAGCCGACCTGCAGCTCCTCCCCGCCCCTTGCCCACCCCCCCGCTGTCCCCAGGAGTGGGCCACCCCCACCCCATCTCACCCCACCCTCTCTAGCCAGGTTTTTAAGTCACCATCTGTGAAGCTGGGCTAGGAAGTGATAAAAAGCACCGAATTTTTGTCTAATTGAAAATACATTTTTTGGAGACCGCACTGACAAATATCTGGGATCCCGGCTTTTGAACCATCGCTGCCGTCTCTGTTCTCTAGTCGCTAATAAAACTCACATTGAGCCCCTTAGTGCCTTGATTAACAGGCAGATTAACTCTTACTGGGGTTGGGAACAGCTTGTCCCAATCAATGTCATTTTAAAAGCCCTTCAGGATGCGCTTAGCTCTGGCTCCCTGGCTGCTCGAGGGAGCCAGCCGTGACATTTACTCCCCCCGCCTAGCCTCAAATCTCCCAGCAAAGCCCCCAGTCCCCAACCCGCGTGCTACTGCTCTATTCGAGGACAGATCGCAGGACTTGGAGCCTAGTCTTTAGAAAAGGCAGTTGTTTAGAGAGGGGATCTGGAAGGAGAAGGAACTGAGGTGGCCTTGGTTTGCCTTAAGGTTGAAGTTGAAATCTTGCCTTTGAGGGGGGTGATGCCCCAGGGAAAAGTGAGATAGGAGACCATCCCAAGAGGACAAAATGGAAAGCCAACTTTCCCAGGAACCCTATCAGCAAAATCTCAGAGTGCTGCACTGATTCCAAGGGACCGACATACCAGGAACTTTAAACTCGGTTCCTCTGTAGACAACATGTATATAGGGGACCAAGTGTGAAGGCTAGAGAGTTAGACCCACCAGGCTGGAGGAATCTATTTGCTGGGAGACACAACTGGACAATGGCTCTTCAAGCATTGTCCCTGGTATTAGAGAGAGAGGCTTGCCTGTGTGAATGGAAGAGGACCGAACCCAGAGCACCCTGACTCACTAGCCATTTGGCAGGAGCCAGGAAGGGCGAGGGCACCATGGCTTCCCGGCCAAGTGTGGTCACAGCCTAGAGGCGCTGCCTGCCAGGCTCCCGGCTCTTCGCTTTCCTGGGCTACCCCTGGCTTAAGACTCCGCTAGGCTGCGGGGTGAGCGGGAAGCCGGCAGACTTGGTGAAAGGAGAGGAAGTAAAGCAGTCAAGTGAGGGAGGCACCCCGGACTGGGAGGCAAAGGTGGGGGTTTGCCTTCGTCGCTCGTTTGACCGGTCTCGCCAGCTCCTCAGTTCAGGGAACCCACCTTCCCAGTACCTGCAAAGAGAGAGCCGTTTGGGGCTCTGCACAGTGACGCAGGTGTCTGCAGAGTCCTTACTTTTCCAAAGAAAAGCTCATCTCCACTCTCCCCAGCGGGCCAGCATCGCGCCTCTGCGGGGTGGGCAAGAACAGGAGTTGGGAGGTGTTCGGACGCTGGGTCCTAAGACTCTAGGTTCCGAAGCTCGAGAGCGAACGCGCGTCCCCCGAGAAGTGGGCACATCTGTGCCTCGGCAGCGGCCGCCCCCAGAGCCAAGGTGGTGGGGCGCAGGCGAATGCTAGGAGCCGGTGGCTTTAGACGCTGCCCGACCTCACGGGCCAGAGACTGGCGACACTCTCCCGCGCGCCGCGATCCCCCAGCGTAACTCCCTCAGCGCAGACAGCCTCCCCCTACCCGGCGGGAAGACCCCAGCGGCCCTTGCCAGAACACCCCTGCTTGCGCTGTGGGATGGAAGAACCTGGGAGAGGCGGGAAAATTCGACACAGCAACCTCCGGTGCCTTGGAGGGCAGCAAAGGGGTCGGTGTGTGTTCGAAAACGCAATTAAAATGGCGACCTGCGAGTCGTCTGAATTTTGCGCACACCTTAGGCCCTGGCACGCCGCGCCTGGGCCCCAGCCCCCCACCCGGCAGTGTCGCCCGCAGAGCAGGTACTTGGCAGAGGGAGCGATCGAGGCACCCCACGAGGTAGAACGGCACCTCAATGCTCCTTGAGGCCGGCTCGGAGACAGCAGAGCAATCTTAATCTCCATCTTTCTGTTCTTAAACTTTGAAGACTCTGCCTCCCTTCGGGGCCTGAGTTCCCCCCAAAATATTGACCCATTGGAAGCAGCCAAGCCTTTTTGGTTTCTTTTTTTGTGCAGAGGGGTTTACAAGAGTCCTTCCTCAGGCCCCCGCCCCCACCCAATGACGTCAGTGGCATTCACGCCTTGTTCCTTGTCTCTTATGATTTTTTGTTGTTAAAACTTTTCTCTGAGGTGAGGTGGGGGTTGGAGGTGGGAGAAGGAGCTGATTCAAAGAGCCAGTGCCCTGGGGGAAAATAGCAACAAGATTACGGCTGCTTCTTTCCGAGGCAAAGCTTAAGAAGGTGCTAATCCACTCGGTTGCTAATTGAGAGGTTGTAAAAATTATATTCTCCAATTCGGACAGAGTCAGTGACCCCCTCTTTCTTGCTCATGCCCAGTGTACTTGATTTCAAACTCCTTCAATGCTCTTTAGAGAAATGAAAAGGGAGAAAAAGACAACGCAGATTGTCGCCGGTCTGCGACCCAGGCCCATTGACCCAATTCCTGGGATCCTCGGAAAGTCGCGGTCCTACGAAATCCCGCACCGAAGGCCGCCACCCCAGCACAGCGCCAGCACCTTCGCCCCTGGCCTGGGTCTCCTCCTGGCGCTGAGCGCTCCTGGGCAGCGGAAAGGAGACGAGCCGACCGACCTCTGGCCGGGGACCCTAGTCGCCCTCCAGGCCGGGGAGGTGAGCCAGTCGCGAAGATTCCATCCCGGCCCTCGCTGGAGAGGCCTCCAGTCCCCCGGAGCTCTCTAGCCTCCTAGATCGCAGCGTTGCTGGTTGACTCGTGGGGCGAGGGTGTGCGGCCCACACCAGGCCTGGCGGTGCAGGATCTGCAGCAGCGTCCTCACCTTGCCAGCTTGGAGGGACAGCGGCGGCTCGGCTTGTCTGCGCCGAGTTCAGGGCGTGCAGACTTTATTGATGAGCTCTGACTTTCAGCACTTTTCACACGTGTCAACAGGAGTCAAGTGTAGGAGGCGGTTGCTTCATATCAGCCTTTCTGCTTCAAGTCCTCCACCCAATTCCCCTTTTCCTGGAGCCTAGGGTGTGTTCTCCATCCCAAGCCTTCCCCTTACCCCCACCCCCGACGTCAGGGTCGCAGGCTCCGAGAGATCTGGCTGTGGACAGCGCAGGCCGAGGCAGCGGCTCCTTCTCCTGTCACCTTAACTGCAGGCGCGGAGGGGCGCCTTTGGAGTGTACTGAGGTGTGTCCTAATCGTCCGGCATTCAACAAATGGACTTGTAGTGTGTGGTCAGAAGAGAAAAGCCATTTACTTACTTTCCTCCAAGGTTTTCTGGCAACAGCTGAAGGGGAGCTGCCTCCGTGGATTGAGCAGACCCAGAAGAGGGAGTTGTAGTGAGGAGAGACAGGAACCACACACAGATAACCAGTGGCATACACTGTCACACCGACATAGCTGCAGAGGGATCGCACCAGAGACTCTCTCAGCTTTGGTCATACCTCTTCCTCCCCCCCCCCCAGCCTCCAGTACTCCCCCTACTCTCTTATCACCCCCCACACACACACACACACACTCGATTCCTCTCCTTTCCGGCGCCTGGAAAAGCAGCAGCACTTAGTCAACAAATGGCACGTGGGAGAAGTTGGTGAGTGTTTGGTGAGGACTCTTCAGGGCTTTTCACAAAAACCCTCTGTACACAAAGTAAGTGGCGTGTTTACTTGGGCCTCTCCAGCCCGGGCTGGGCCTCCGCTCTGCTGCGCACCGCGGCTTCCGAATGGAGAAAGAAAGAAGAAAGAGCCGAGGAAACGGGGTGGGGGAATGGGCAGGCCTGGGAGGCCTGGGCTGGAGAGGCGGCTGGGCCTCACCGAGTTCCGGGCCCGGCAGGCTTCTCTTGGCCTTGGTGGTGGCCTCCACCGCCCGAGCAGAAGCTGCTAGGACCCTGTACTGCCCTCGCCCCTTTCCTCTTCTTCCCAGAGATCAGGTGAACTGGGGTGCGGCCACCACGGTGCTCTGCTTCCCGCGACCCAGGCCAGGATGGGACAGAGGCGGGAGGGAAGGGCGGGGGCGGGGCGGCAGGCCACACTGCGCAGGAGTTGGCACGAAAGGGCCGCGCAGAGCAGCAGAAACTTGTTCTCTCCGTGGGCTGGGAGCCCCGCGTTCAGCTTAGAGGAGCGGGGGGCGCGCGCCCCAGCCCAGCAGCCTGCACTGGACCCCTCAAGCTTGCGACCGCAGCGCGGACCGCGCCGACTGTCGGAGCGCGCGGAGCCTGGAGATGTCTGCGAGCGCCAGAACCCGGGCGCGGGGGCCCAGCATCGGGGAGAGAGCCGGGACGCACCGGCAGAGCCGAAAACAAGTGTATTCATATTCAAACAAACGGACCAATTGCACCAGGCGGGGAGAGGGAGCATCCAATCGGCTGGCGCGAGGCCTCGGCGCTGCTTTGCATAAAGCAATATTTTGTGTGGGAGCGAGCGGTGCATTTGCATGTTGCGGAGTGATTAGTGGGTTTGAAAAGCGAACCGTGGCTCGGCCTCATTTCCCGCTCTGGTTCAGGCGCAGGAGGAAGTGTTTTGCTGGAGGATGATGACAGAGGTCAGGCTTCGCTAATGGGCCAGTGAGGAGCGGTGGAGGCGAGGCCGGGCTCCGGCACACACACATTAACACACTTGAGCCATCACCAATCAGCATAGGTGTGCTGGCTGCAGCCACTTCCCTCACCCACACTCTTTATCTCTCACTCTCCAGCCGCTGACAGCCCATTTTATTGTCAATCTCTGTCTCCTTCCCAGGCATCTGAGAATTGCTCTCACACACCAACCCAGCAGCGTCCGTGGAGAAAACTCCCACCGGCAACTCCTTTTAAACACCGTCATTTCAAACCGTTTTGGTCTTTAAGCAACAACAGGGAGAAAAAAAAAAAAAAAAAAACAAACAAAACTCTTGACAGGAGCTTTGACAACGAGAGAGGATGCCTCATAAAGGTGAGTCCGCTCCTTTCTTCTCGGTTCATTTTTCTTGCAATATTGAGACAGGTCTCCCCTTCCTCCCCCCCTTCTTTCTCCCCTCTCGCCAGTCCCCTCCCCCACCGCTACGCCCGGAGAGTTGGGCCGGAGAAGTTTCCACGCAGAAGCCCAAACTTTCTACTTCCAACGAAAGCCCGCGTCGGAGGGTGACGGCCAGCCAGCTGGAGCAGTGCACGGCTCGGGGCGTGCGGCTGGCCCAGCTTTATTGCCAGCCCCAGCGCCAGCCCCAGCGCGGGCTGAGCTTTCAGGGAGAACCAAGGCTCCAGGAGCATCTGCCGCCGCGGGGCCCAGCCTTAGCGTTGCCCAGTGCTCTCTGCCGGCGGGAGAAGACGAATAGGCTGTGCTGTGCCCAAGGCCCCGGAACGGCCGTAGAGACCAGCCGCCGGCTGCTTTGTCCAGCTCAGGGCCCAGCGGGCGCGCAGAGAGCCGGGGCGACCAAGGAGCGTCAAGGGAGCCGGCTTGCCGCGCTGCGGTCCGCCTTTAGGCTTTGTGCTGCGCGTGGCTGGGACGCAGAAGAGCCCGAGGGCACGCGAGCACTAAGAGGGCTCCGCGCCTACCACCATCCCGGGCGGAGCCAGTCAGCAAGGCGGCCACACGCAGGAGGCAGCGAGAAAGCGAGCGAGCGAGTGAGCGAGTGCGAGCCGGGGAGGAAGGCGCCAGGCCGAGGCGGGCGGAGACGCGCACCGAGAGAGAGCTTCGAGCAGAGCGGGAGCACTGTCAGCTTCAAGCAAGCCTCTGGGCTCCGGCCCCCAATTTAACCGGCGCGCGGAGCTCAGAGCTCCCAAAGCCTCCGCTCCCAGGCTGCTCCCAGTCCTTTCGCTCGCCCAGTCCTCTGCTCTCTGCGCGCGGTGGGTATTTGTCCTTGCGTTCCTCTGAGCAAACCGCGCGTGGTGTTGCCATTTCAACAAGTTTCGAAGTGGAAGGCTGCTTCCCTCCCCCCTTTCTCTAATCTGAATGTCCCGATTTTTCTTTGTGAGGCCTTTAAAAAAAAAATCCGTATGAAAGCAATGGCTTTCCTCCTCTCGTCTGATCACATCCTCTCCCGGTTAATTAGTCTGAGTAATTTAAGAGCTTTTCGATTCTGCGACCTCAGGAGAAAAAGTGGCTTTTCAAAGTTCATAAAGTTGTTGTCTCCTTCCCTGTGCAGATTTTCTCAGTCTCCCTGCGCCATAATAGCCCGGAATTTTAGCAAGTGTAATTGGGGGAAAATGGAGTTGAATTTCAAGTGGAAATGCTTTCTTTTTCGAGTGCTAAAACCCGGCCCTCCAGTCAGGGATTTCTAGAAAGTTTAAAAACAAAGTGAACGTGGTTTCTTTTTCTTCCCCTTACTCCCCAAAGCTCCCTAAGCCATTTTGGACGTTTAACACAAACCTGGGAAGCTTTTAGGAGGAGGTAGGGCAGAAAATAAAATGAAAAGCAAAGTATTTGAAAGCCTAGCGAGTTGTTGCCATTGACATTACATTTTTTATAGCCGTTGACCTTTGCAACTGTCTGAAGGCAATTTGATTAGTTGTTACCTTATTCGGCCCTAAAGAGTAAAACTTTGTCTTCTTAATTGCTAACTACCCTTTGGTTGGGGGGGGGGCGGTAATGTTGAAAGTGAGCTCTCCCTTCATCCCAGCCTCTAAGGAGTTTGGGGATGGATTTTTAGAATTAAATAGTAAACCAATAACAGCAAAAAGATTCCATTCGAAAAAGGAGGCTGGGGTGGGGTGGTGGAGGTGGAAAGCAGTGGCCCCATGGCTTAAGGCCCGGTGACTCCAAGGTATCAGGACACTCCTTCATTCCCGCGTGGGTATCTGGCTCCGGCCAGGGCCTTACAAAGCCAGGAGCTAAGCTTTGGGGTTCGGATGGTGGCTGGGGGTCTGGCTTCTCTGTTCCTGACTGCTTCCGGGTGTCTCTGTGCCCCGCTTCCTCATCGCTTTGGACAAAGTGTTAACGATTACTTAGGTAATTAGATAGTTTCTTAGCGGAGGGGAGGTGGGGGATGGAGCAGAGCCGAAACATGAAATGCTTCCCCCTTCCCAGCTGCTTCGGAAATTAATCGGCTAGGCCTCTCTCTGGGATCAGCTAGTGACATTTTTTAAATGGCATCAAGTACCGGTCAGGACGAGGGGCATTCAGTTGTGGTTGTGCACAGTCTGGAACAGAGTTCACGAAGTTTTGCCCCTCCCGGGGGAATTTTACCCTTTCTCCCTCCCGCTACTACTTTGCAGCTTCGGAGTTGCACACTTTCTGCGATGGAGTTGGGGTTTTTGCCTGCCCCTGGCGTGACTGTGGAGGCAGGGTCTGAGAGACTGGAGGGAGGCATTGGGAGCCACCCTAGCTCGGGATAACTAAGTAGCCCTCTACACTCGCCGGTATTTATCAGGCTGTATTCGGATGCCGGGAAAAAGTGGCCGTTTTAGGCTTGTTTTTATGGATTTAAGCTGTCTCCCAGCCAGTTAGTAAATCAGACCAGGAATGGCCTTAAACAAAAAAATGTGATTCGTGGAATTTTTTTGCTTGCTGGCAGGCAAAATAAATAATCATCACAGGCAAAACAGGAAAACTAATTACTGTTTTAGTTTTTTTAATAAAAACGGGGGGAGAAATGATGTGGTGACTATTTCATTATTTCACCTCACTCTCTCTCTCTGTCTCTCTTTTTTGGCAAACCTCTTGAATAGGCTCTTTCTTGTAAGTCTCTCTTCCCAATTGAGCTCCCCACGGTGCCCTTGTATCTTTTTACAGCCCTTAACAACTCACACCAGTAACACAATTACCTTCAGATATTTATAACAAGAAATTACTTTTCTATTTTCCCTGCAAGAACCTTCTTTTTAGGGGCAGGTAGGGAGGGGGTGATGGAGGGTGAGCCTTGGGGGATCTGCACTGGGTCAAGACTTACGAAGCTCGAAATGTCTCTCTGTTCCCTTTGTGACTTGGTGGGTTGTTGGTACGTCTGGTTGGAAGCTGTGTTGCTGGTTAGGGAGACTGGGTTTTTGCTCTTTGGGTTTGGAGAGAGCCAGAGAATAGAAGCCATTGTTTGCTGTCTGTAGGCTTTGTCAACCAAGCTCACCCCCTCCTGTTCATACTTTTTAAAGCAGTGAGGCGAGGTAGACAGCGTGTGTCACAGTACAGTGAAAGGGGGGAAGATCTAAACACCAAAAGAGAAGTTAATCACAATAAGTGGGGTTTGAGGGAAAAGTTGGGATCGCCACTTTCAAAGTTCCAGAAGGGGTGGGAGATGAGAGGAGGCCTGATTGAGAAGCTATGTTTGTGTGTATGGGGAGGGGGCCTATGAAGGAGGAGCCAGAGAGTGGGGTCCTGGGGACCTTGGAGGCAACTGGGGTGGTAAAATTACTTAAGAAAACATGGAGTGTGGACCTGCACATGACTCCAGCCTGCACCCTTAGGTGCCGTGAAGTTCCTTGGTCTCCCATGGACTCCTTACCTTCTAAGCTTCAGCCTCAGCCTTGTCTACCCCAACTCTTGGCTGCTACTCCTTATCCTGCTCTCCCTCTGTGCTCTCTCTTCCTTTTTCCCTGCTTCTCAAAATGTTTGCATAGTGGCAACCCAAACTCATCAGATTCTCCCGATTTTCCCAAGCCAGGTGGAACAGCCTCTAGGAATTGCTGCAGAAAAGGCTGCTAGAAATGGGGGTGTATCACTGGGATTTAGGGTTTTATGGCAGTTTGAGCCCTAGACGTGCATGAGAGAGTGGAACTCAGTCTAAGGGCCCATCTCTTTTGAGCCACAGTTTGACATACCCTTCTCTCCTTCTGTTTTATCTTAGGGGGAAGACTTTAATTAGGGGTGTGCAGATGTGTGAGACCCTTTATTGTAAGAGTGGACAGACCTCCCAGATTTCAGGCAAGTTATGTGGTGGTTGGTTTCAAGACTCGAAAGAGTCAAAACTCAGTATTTCAGAACGCTTCTTCAGTGTAGTTCAGAAGGAAGAAAAAACACCATCAATTGGGCCATCGTTTCTGCTGATTAAAGGGTTAACTCCTAGAGGATTTGAGGGCAGAAGACTGGGAATATTGGGATATTTTATTTGATGTCCAAACAGTAGATTTGTACACGCTGGAGGGCAAAGCCGGATGACCCTCAGATCAACCCAAGTGGATCCGTTCCTAAAGGAGGAGGATTCTTCTGACCTGTTCCCAGATCCTCCTCGGGCGGGAGTTAGGCCTACCTGGGTCAGAGGCCCGGGATTAACGCCTTTTTCTTGCTAACAGAGCCCGGTATTCGAGCCCCGTGGGATCCCGCGGCCCCCAGCCAGCGCCAGCATGCAGAACAGTAAGTGCCTGGTCTTTTTCGGGCTTCAGACCGGGGGCGCGGGGATTGGCGGGTCAGGGGAGGGTGCAGAGGCTCGCGGCGCGGGTGCTGGCCAGCCCACCCATCTGAGGACCAGGGATCTGCGTTGGCTGTGCCCCCCCTGTCTGTGCCGGGCAGTCCAGGAGGGGAGGGCGTTTGCTCTGCTGTTCTTGCTCCTAGAAGAACAGGGGCTGGGCCCTGCAGAACAGCCCGCCCGAGTTTGCGAAGCTGCGGTAGAGAAACCCCATCCCCCCAAATCCTGTAACTCACACCCCCTCCCCGCCCCTGCCCGGGCTCTGACCCCGGAGAGAGGGGCTGGGCTGAGCAGGCGGGGCGGAGGCTTCTCCCAGTTGTTGGAGAAGGAGGCCCCTTTGGGTTTATCCGGGACTGAATGTCTTCAGCACCCGGGTGGGGTGGGGGACTCCCCTCCCCCAGTCACTCTGGGGGCAGCTCCTCCCCTCCCCACGTCGGGGCCTAGAAGGAAAGAGGACTGGGGAACCCAGACTTGAAAAGGACCTGCAGCTGGGGGGAGGGGGATGGTAACCTCCTACCATAGGCTTGTTACCGGTTTCGGGAGAGATCAGGGTTTTACTGGGTCTGGGAAAAGAGTGGGAACTGCGCTCCAGAATTGGAGAATCCCTGCTTGGCAACTGCACCTGCTTGGGTCCTGGTAGCCCAACCTCCTAGTGCCTTTGATTCCCAGGCTCATGTACCTTGCTTCTTCTCTGTGCCTAGGCCTCTGAGGCCCCCAGCCCATTTTCCTGCTCAGTCCGTGGGCACGGGAACGTGGCAGAGCTATTTTGGAGCCGTGGCCTGGGGACTGGGAGGCCGAGTGAAACCAGCCACGGGTTGGACGCAGTTTGAGGGCTCAGCTATACTGGAGGTGGAAAAAGGCCTAGGTTTCTAGCAACCTTCCCTTGCCAATCCACAAAGATTTAGGATCCCCGCTCCTGATCCATCAGTCCTGTAAATGTTGACGGTCCCCTGGTATTGCCCCGGCGAGTGGACGCAAGCGGCAGGAAAGGGCATGAAGGTGTCCAGCTTTGCGGCGAGTGGTTGTGCAGAACATACCAGGTCCCAGGGCTTGGCCCTCGGAGAGGCCAACGCCTCTACCCTCCGTCCCTGCAGGCTCCTCTGCAGTAGGCTCTTGGTTGCGTTCGGTCCAGGCGCACTGCCCTGAGCGTTTGTCGCTGTGGCCTGGCTGGCTGCTCCCGAGGGGCGCGGGGTCGCGCACTGGCCCGCAGGGCTTTGTGCCACTCGCTCCCGGGTGTGTGCGAGGCACCGAGCATCCAAATTGATACCATATGTTTTCCTATTAGATGCTTCGCGGTCGAATTCTAGGCGCATAATCATCGCCGCTGGGCGAGAGCGCCAGCCGTCCCTAGGGAAGGGACACAATGATGGAGGCTTAACCTCTGAAGAGGAACTTAGAACTGCGCTTCCTCCCTGCCATTTCGATGCTGGCAGCGTCGCCCTGGCCCCGTTAGCTGGCGGTGGCAGCGGAGGTGGCAGGCATGTTGTTACTTTTTGCAATAGGAGGAGAAGAAGGGAGGTCTTGGATTAGGCGACCTCACACGCCTAGGCGTTCCTAGGTTGGGAATTGCCCAGGCTAGGCATGAAGTTTCCACAGTCTGCTTCCCTGTGGGACAGCCTTTCTCTTTCTGAGAAGTCTCCCTTCTGCAGAGCTGGGGGATGCGGAAGAAGGGAGACTCCGTAGCTGGAGGGGTAGATGGGACTTGCCAGGCAAGGCAGGCAATAAAGAGAATTTAGGTGAAACCGGAAGCGCGGTCTATGCCTTGCTCTGTTGGCGAGGCACTGCCCCTGCGCTATCCCGGAGTTCGCTAGCGCTGGGCCCAGCTCGAGCCCAGATCCTCCAAACGCCTGTCACTTCTCATCGAGTTGAGACTCGGCCCCCCCCTCGGTGATAGCCGCCCCAAGCCTTCGGTTACCCTGAAAACGCGGCTCCCCTCGAAGGGGAAAAGAGTGCAGTTCAATCTCATCTGAGTGATCTCCAAATAGGGACGGAAAGGGTCGTTTTATCACAGTCCCGTTTGTCGTGACGATGCAATTTCCCGGAGCGGAGCACTGTCACAAAGTGACAAGGCTGCCACAAGCGCCCCGACTGATCTTTTCAATTAGCCTTCCATGCATGATCCGGAGCGACTTCCGCCTATTTCCAGAAATTAAGCTCAAACTTGACGTGCAGCTAGTTTTATTTTAAAGACAAATGTCAGAGAGACTCATCATATTTTCCCCCCTCTTCTATATTTGGAGCTTATTTATTGCTAAGAAGCACAGGCTCCTGGAGTCAATTTATCAGGACGCTCCAAGGAGAGAGGAGAGCAGAGCGAACAGGGAGCCACGTCTTCTGGGAGGTCTGCTTTCTAGAGCCGGGGCTGCAGGTTAGAGATTTTTTAAGGAAGTTGAAGTTGGAGATTGGTTTTATTTGTGTGCCAGTAGTTTCTGGGGAGGGGGCTAACAGAGATGTGCTAATTCCCTCCCCCTAGTCTCTAAGATTAGACAATGGGATGAGGTGGTGAGTTAAAAAGACATAAAAGAGGGCCAGGGGATTGGTGAGGTGTGGTTTTTTCCTTTTTCTTTTCTTCCTGTGATTTTTGCTAGTATCTCTCTTCGGCAGTGGGGAGGGCCAGGTTCTGCAGCAGAATTAAGGCAAGCAGAGGCCCCTGTGGACAGGCTCCGGGCTCTCAGCCCCACTGCGGCAGCTGGGAAGGAGGACTGCTCTGTGGTTGGAGCCGATTGGGATTCACGAGCCGCAAATTTGCTGCTTTGGGTTCTTCTCTTCTTTTCTTTTTCTCACCCGGTTGATAGTGCCGTTCCTCCACCACAGTTTGGACTATGACATAAATGTTCCTTGACTACTCTAGCGTCCCAGAGACACTGAAGGACTGTAGGATTTGCAGTCACTGGTCCAACACTGCAGAGACCTTGGAGGTTCAGTGGGGTTTTCGTAGAACTCATGGTTTGCGGTGACACTAAGAGTGGATCCTTAGGAGAGTATTTTAGAGCTGATTGTTTGCATGATGTGGGTCCAGTGGCTACCTGAATGTTTACAAAGAGAGGAAATAGTTCGGGTACAGCTGGGGTTATGGTGGTAGTGGGGTGTGTGAGTTCTTGCTTGTTGGCACATTTGTGTCTCAATGGTGCTTCTGCAGTCTGGGGCAGCAGTATCCGCTCTGTTTGGGGCTGGGCTGCCTGATACACCCACCGCATGGCTGCGTGGTCCTGTTGTCTTTGATCGATAGCAGGGACCTGATTGCTAAGGTCGGCAGGGTTTGGCAGGAAGCTGAGGATGCATTGTGGTTGTCTTTTTCTTCTTTCTTTTTTCTTTCTTTTCTTCTTCTTCTCTTCCTCCTATTCTTCCTTTTTCTCTGCCTCTTTTTCCTTTTCCTCTTCCTACCTCCTCTGCTCTCTTCTCCTTTCCTTTCCTTTCCCTTTCCTCAGGTCACAGCGGAGTGAATCAGCTTGGTGGTGTCTTTGTCAACGGGCGGCCACTGCCGGACTCCACCCGGCAGAAGATCGTAGAGCTAGCTCACAGCGGGGCCCGGCCGTGCGACATTTCCCGAATTCTGCAGGTGATCCTCCTGGCACCACCCCACTTGCCGCCCCCGCGGCCCTCCACTCTCAACGCCCTATCTTCATTTCTTACTGTAAATGCTGCTAATTATGGACCCCCACCCTCAACCACCCTCTGATACCCCAGTCCCCACCCCACTACCCTCCCTTCCTGCTTTCCCTTTTCCTTCCACCATCCTTCCCTACCTCTCTCAACCTGGGTCGGTCATGAGATAATTCATCTGCTTAAGGGGGAAAAAAAAAGTGTACTTTCTCTTCATTTGGTAAAGACATTCATTGCGGTGACAGTTTATCAACTGTAATAAACTGAGTTATATAAACTGACATAATTTCATTTGCCCTCTCCCCATGTCACACTTACCTTGGATTTTGAGATATTTGTATTCTTCATAATTATGAAGAACATATATTTGTTTTAAAAGGCAAATGCTACTTAGCTCCTCTCAAACTCACATTTATTTAATTGGGCATATATATATATATTTTTTTTTGAAAAAGAAAAAAGAGTAACATTTTAGCTCCCCCCTTTGTCCATTAAAGCATAACACCACTTTAAGGAAGGTCAGCACAAAACAATTAATCTGACTTCATTTTGCTGCATCTTCAGACAGTGTTTAATGAAATAGTTTTTAAAAAAACTTTTAAATTGGTTTTTTTTCTTTAGTTCAAACTGTTTGAAAGTATCACCATATTTGTAGTTTTTAGGGCTACAAATGTACTTTTAAGAAAAAAGCTCTCTACAGTAAGTTCTCATACCATTGAAGGTATATTTTTGTGTTATAGACCCATGCAGATGCAAAAGTCCAAGTGCTGGACAATCAAAACGTAAGCTTGTCATTGTTTAATGCATACTTAAACAATTTTATTTTTGTCTTGAAATTATTAATAATGTGGTTTTCTGTCCACTTCCCCTATGCAGGTGTCCAATGGATGTGTGAGTAAAATTCTGGGCAGGTATTACGAGACTGGCTCCATCAGACCCAGGGCAATCGGTGGTAGTAAACCGAGAGTAGCGACTCCAGAAGTTGTAAGCAAAATAGCCCAGTATAAACGGGAGTGCCCGTCCATCTTTGCTTGGGAAATCCGAGACAGATTACTGTCCGAGGGGGTCTGTACCAACGATAACATACCAAGTGTAAGTTCACTGAGAACATTCACTTTCCCTGCTCTAAGCCCACTCTCTCTCCTCTTTATCTTCTCTTTTGCCTCTCCCCGATTTCCTCTCTCCCAGTGTCTCTCATTTCTGTCTCCTTCCTGCTCCACATGTCTTTTCTGTACCTGGGGATATTGAGAGGAGTGTCCTCACCCTTACTGACCATCTGGAAAATGGGAGTTGAGTATGGGGACTTGTTCACTTTATTTGCATACTGCAAAGCAGAGGGCAAAAGCATCCGGGAAAAGCTCTTGAGTCCAGAAGGAAATGGAAAACTGTATTCTAGCTTCCTCCAAATCTATCTGCCAGAACCTTCATTTAAACATCAAATATCCATTGCTACCCTCATATAACGCAAAGGAAATTTTTAAATTTCCAAAACAGGTCTCAGTCTCTTTTCAGGAAATCTTTTAGCAAAGCATAGTGGCCACTGAGTCAGATCACCACAGTCACTGGGTGGTGGTGAAGGATCCCACCCTTCGTGCCCCAATTCTCTACACAACTCAGTTTCCATGCCCAAAGTGATTCTTTCCACCACGTCCCTGCACATCCATCCACTGTCAGAGGGTGGCTGGCAGTGTTTTCATGTTTTGAGGGTCATTCTTAAGGGGACAGGCAAGAAGAGATGGGGACTTAAGATGGGACAGTGGTGTCTGCAGGGGATGCTACCATTTGGTTTGATTTTGGTTTGATTTTGGTTTGATTTGCAGGTGTCGTCAATAAACAGAGTTCTTCGCAACCTGGCTAGTGAAAAGCAACAGATGGGCGCAGACGGCATGTATGATAAACTAAGGATGTTGAATGGGCAGACAGGAAGCTGGGGCACCCGGCCCGGTTGGTATCCGGGGACTTCAGTGCCAGGGCAACCTACACAAGGTAAAACTCAAGCACCTATCCTTGAATCCCTCCATATACATAGCTCTTTGGCCCTCCTTTCCCTCTCCATTCTCTTTCCTTCCAGCCTCTGTGCTTGGGGGATATAGTAGAGACACTCTTCAAAGGTCTGTATGCATTGACTTGCAGTATATGTAGATGGTGTTGTTGAACCATCTGGTTAGCTGGGGAGTGTGAGGGTTGTGTGTGTCAGGACTAGTATGAGTGCGGCTAGTGTGTGAATGAGTTGTGGGCAGGAGTATGTGCACATAAGAGCTAGCCACGTGGTGCCCTATTCAAATTTCCCATTAAAATGCACAGAGAGCCCCCTTGCTGTAGAAGTGTGACAAGTTAACACACTGACAGACTGCAAGGTAAACATAATTGTATCATTTTGCTTTTTGCCATAATTGACAAATTATGTATAAGTAGAGTGCGTAGGAGATGGTGAACAGTGAAATGTAAGACCAAGTTGATTAGAGGGCATTAGAGGTGAGGGTCTCCCACTATATCGTGCTCCTCCTCCCCTTTGCTCCTCTGGGCCCTCATTTCTCACTCTCTGTGGGTGGCGACTGCATAGAAGTTGTCAGGGTGAGAATACTGTGAGCCAGACTGCGGGGTGCCCGGAGAGACTTCGGAGTTGGGAGGAGAGTTGGGACCTGGGACGCCCTAGGATCTGTGAGAAAGGATAGAGAAAGAGGAACCGATGGGGGGATCAGTTGGAGCCCTCCCCCCACGCACTGAGGTAGCTTGGTCAAGAAGAGGAAACAGTTTACTCTGAAGATTAATCGGTATTAGTTGTCCTTGTGACAAGGAGATAATATGCAGGATAATGGGACGTGGCGTCTCATTCTCGGGAGCACTACGGTGCCCAGGGGCTCCCAGCCGGGGGCGGCCGCGTGGGTACCGCCATAGGGCTGCCTGCGTGTCCATGCGCTCCCGGACCTGCTCCGAGTGCCTGCACCTCCACCGAGCCGGGCTAGCAAAGGGAAAATCGGTAACAGTATGCGAAATATCTGGTACAAAGGATGCTTCTGTCACTCGCAAGAATTTGTTATGGGAACAATCCTGTCGCTCTGTAATTGCTCATTAGAGAACGTTTTGTTTCTCATTAAGGCGACATGAATAAGCGTCTAGTTGAAGGAGACAGCTGTAGAAATGTTCCACAAGAGACCTCTGGACACGATTCGGCACCAATTGCCAATTAGACATGTCAGTTTTAAGAGCAGAAAACAATATAGGACGGACACTGGGAAGATAGGGAGCAAAGCGCTTGCTTTTTGTTTCCCAGCGCGGCCTCTCAGCCGGTAGAGGCCTCCTGACGCGCGGGGCTTAGGCTCCCCTGGGTGACCCCACCCGCCCACCGCCCTAGGGCTCCAGGAGCTCCACCCGCACCCGGAGGAGGCCCAGTCTCAGTCTGGGCCTCTCCAGCACCTGATGAGGCTGAGACCCACGTGACTGAGCGTGGACAACCTCACCCCTGCCCGACCTTTGAAACGGTAGGATTTCCACGAGCGCACCGTGGACACACCCAAGTGACGCCAGCCCTTCGCACCCCCGGGGGCGTCTGAGCGACCCCCTCCCCGCCCCGCCCAGCAATCTGAAGTCCCTGTGATCCTTCCTCTGCCAGGGCCTGGCCTAGGTGGTCCAAGGAGTCTCCTGGAGGGAGCAGGGTGCAAGAACCCCCGCCTGGAAGGCGGAGCCCAGAGCCTCTACTTCTGGGACTCTGGGCTGTGAGGGCTCAGAGCTGGTTGGAGCATAGAGGAGGCCCCCCTACCCGTTTCTGCTGCCCGCCGGCGCGGGACAGTAGCTGAGGGCAGAAGAAAGCCTGCCTCTCCGCCTCCGCCAGAGGTGGCGCCCGATTCGAGTAGGTTTTCATCTGGGTGGGAAGCAGGAACGCACACGCGGGGGCCTGGTGTGGATGGTTACAACAGGATATGGCGCTAGTTCGGCAGCTCTTAACTTTGAGGCACAGAGTTGTTAAAGAGAATTCTGGGCTACTCACTGTCACCCCCACCTCCCTCCAAAAAGCCCCACTAAGATGATCCTACCCCTCCGCGCCGCCCCGCTGCCCACACGTGCGGCGAGCTGAGCTTGCAGTTGGCATGGGGGACGCAGGCGCTGGTGGCGAGCTTCGGCTGAAGGGCCTTGGGATGCCTCAGGCCTTTAGGCGCTCAGGGGGTGCCCCTCCCTCCTTGGCCCAGTTCCCCAGCCCGGAAGCCATTCTTGGGTTTTAAAGAGTCCATTACTCCGAAAGCATAAGGCGAGGTTAGGTCTCAGAGGGAGACAAATATGGTTTCCATCTGATCAACGCCATGCGGCAGTGAATAAAATCATGACGCCATAGGCTGACAACAAGAGACAACTCTATCCAGCCCTAATTCTCCAGCGATTTGGTAGTTTTTAGGGATCACGGAGACACTTTTTCTTATCTGCTCCCCCTTCCCTACCACCTCCCCTAATACCCAGGCCCTGTATAGGATTTAGTCAGTCCCTCTTTCAACAGATGCTACAATGTTTTGATCCGCGCTCCGGAGCTGAAAAGGTGCCGCAACCGGGTTGCTATCTTTTCTTGCTTGTTTTCCGCCTCAATGATTAAGACACTAAGAAACTAAGGAATGATTTTATTTCCCAGAGTCTTTCTTCTTCTTCTTTTCTCTTCTCCTTCTTCCAGGAAACAAATCCTATCCCCCGCGTCAGAGGGTCTTGGGGCAGGGATAATGGGAGAAGCTTTCTCTCGCCTTCTCACGCCTTAGGCTGGAAGGTGAACGGTGCCCATTGATGGTCCCTTCTTTGCTGCGCTCCGAGGGGGCGCCTTTTAAAGAAGATATCTTAATTGTCTGCCACTTAGTTTTATCATGTGGGGAATTCGAGTTCCAACTTATAGTTTTATTTCGTTAACAGCTTTAAGAGTGGAAGGTAAATTCACTAAACAGAAAAAGAAGGCGCCCAATCTAAGAGTGACCTCTGCATCACCGCTGCAAACAGCTGCTTCTTTTTAAGTACCAGACTTTTTAGTGGTGCATGCTCGCTCTGCGGGGTCTTGGAGGGCATCTGTGGTCACGGTTTTCTCTTTACTGGACGTTAATCCCAGTTTTTTAAATTTATTTTTAAAATAAGTTTAAAATCGGGATCGTCCCTCCCCCTCCCCCTTGACTTCACTCGCCAGTAGTGTCACTTGTCAAGCTGTTGCGGGCCCTGGGCTGCTTTCGAGCTTGGGTGTTCTTGAACGAGTGCCCATAGAGGGAGGAAGGGAGGCCGCGAGCATATCGCCCATGTTTTGAAATCAGGAACGTGTCACAGAAGCAAAGGAGAGCAAAGAAGGCTTTCTGCGAGGCCTTCAGAGGGAGATCTGGGAAGGTTTGCTTAGCTGGCAAGATCGAATATGCCAGAAAAGGGGTTGAGATGGAGCCTCCTGGAAGGCAGGAACGTGAGTGAGCATCCGAGGGAGGGACGGAGATACTTGTTCCTTCAGCGCTCGGGCCCTAAACGCCGGATGGCTGCAGATTTTTGTTGGCATTTCCCAAAAGCAATGACCTACGGGTGTTTCTAGTAGGCCAAAGCTGGCAGAGGAGCTAGTTCTAAATTTTCTCTCACTCCTGGAACTCTACAGTGAAGGGGAAGGGCTCTTCATTTCTTCCCCCTAAAAACATTTTGAAAAGTCACTAGGCACCTTGGGTCTGTATATTGGCGCAGACACTGACGTCCACTCACGTGAGCGTAGCGTCTCGCGCTCAGCTAAGTAGTACCCCCCCCCCTTTCAGATGTGAGGCTGGGAGAGCCGCCTTCTCCACCTTTTCCTCTCTTCTCGCCCCCTCTCGTCTGACTCCTCCTGTCTCTTCTTCTCTCAGCCTTCTTTTCTGTCCTTTATTTTTATACCTCCTTGGCCGCCTGTCTGCCTCTCTCGAGCCCTCTCTTCTTTCTCC